TTTTATGTGTATTTTTCATCTTTTATTTTTTATCTCTTATGTTTTTATCTTGTTATTTTTATTTTTCAACGGGAGAATAAATTTGAACCTTAAACCTAGTGACGATTGTAATTCGTTTCACCAAATGTAACGCCTTGGTAAATTTATACATTTAAGGGATTTCGATTTGTAACTCGAGATTAAAAATTTTTCATTAAGATTAAAGATATCTATACAAAACCTATCATAATGTGCACCAAGAAAGACACAATGTTACTTGTTAAGATTCATTCATCAGAAATGGTCACCTGCTGTTTTCTTTGCAGCATGAAATATAGATTATTGAAAGAACCATGGATAAGATAAGCGTTAGATGAAGATAAAAAAAAACGATTTGAGATAAGAGATTACATTGTGTACCAAACATATCATACCGACCATGCATCTCTTCCAAATACGATAATCATTTGATTCGCAAATTAATTTTGTGTCACGAAATCAAACGATAAAGTAATTTTATACATGGAAAAAAGAAAACAAATCTTAGGATTAAAGTTTACCTATTTCTATTTAAAGTATTTTCAATTTATTTCGTCTCTCAAAGACAACATGCGATATGTTATAGGTAATCTTGACTTTTATAGTTCAAAAAAAAAAAAAAAGATTCTTTTCTTTGTTCTTTAAACTCCTGCATTTTAAAACGGAATACGCGAAGAAAAAAATTTGATTGGTACAAAATTAAACTTTTCTTACCGGAATAAGTTTGAATATAAATTACATGACTCAGGATCAACTCGGGTATTTATCTATTTATCGCTTTATTTTACCGAACTCCGACAATCAAATTTTTATGATTTTTTTTTTTATATTTATATTTATATTTATATTTTTTATTTTTATTTTTATTTTTTATCTCGGGAATTTATGTATGCTTCACCTTTTCAGGCTACAAAATTTTTTTGAGAAATTTTATTTCACGTGAGTCATGGTTTCCCAATTGATTAGTGCGTTATGAATCCGTATCTTTACCATTAAATCATGGGCAGAGATACGATATCTTTTTAATTTAGAAGGGTTCTTCCACATAAATGGTCGATAATTCGGTGATAACCGAGCGCTTGATTTGAAATGGATGCATGACGTAATCTCATTGGAATCCTTTCTTTAGCAAACGAAATGGTCACATGTACCTTTTTTTTATGGTGATTTTCACCGATCATTTACTTTAAGATCAAAATTTCGCTCTCCTCCGAGGACCAATTTCGTACAATCCGTAAGTGTCGTGTCCTTTCGTAAGGATTTTGGGTTTCCTTTCTTACGAAAAAACAACGATGAATCGTCACATGTTTGTTTTCATAAAGAGAATGCTTTATTATTTTCAATAATATCTGAAGAATAACAAAATATAAATTGTTAGTAGACAGTTGTATATAGTAAATCAAAATCAAAATAAAAATGTATCATTAATCATCACACGAAATAACAAAAACAAATATGTTTTTAATAAGCCACAACCATATTCCCCAGATTCTAATAAAGGAAATTGTGATGATTTAAAGCCACAGCAAAAAGAAAAAAGGTTCAAGTTGTGATAATAAAAGGTGAAGAGAGGTCACAAATAAACCAGGAGCGATGTTGTCATTCGGCCGATCTGCTACGGTCCAACCTCGGTCAAATGACCACATGCTGAACACTACTCATATCAAGTGTCTGATTATTTATTTAAAATAACTAATAGCGGCAATTTATGTTTTGTAAAAAAAAAAAAAGGTAATATGAAAGCCGGTTCGTTAACCCGAAATGAAATGTGAAGCATATATAATTCAATGATTAAGATATATATCGTAAGCGAATTAGACAGGTTTTCTTTCAAAGTGATTTTTAATTTGATTGATGTTTCAGGAATTTGGAAAATTCGAAGTGGAACGTCCAATAATTAAATGTTAAAACAACGTCTAAAACTTCATTTATGCACCCTAATTTATTACGCTAATTTTAATGACAAACCATGTACAATTTCTTTGACATGTGACTTCGCGTCTTCGTATTTCGATTACCATGCGTTCTACCGATTAAGTCACCGCCACAACTCTTGGGTGAAATCATTAAAAAGAAAAGAAAACGATCATAATAATCATTTGTAAAATAACACATACAATCGTGAATAAGTTTGCTTCCTAAAAGTGTTTGTGCTTAAAAAAAAAATGGAACGGGGACATGAAAATTGATATACATTGTAAATCATTGTTTAATCAATTAGCGAGAGTTATGTATAAAAAATGATTCAGTTAATAAAAAATTTTCATTAATCAAAACTCATTAGTCGAATTTGATTTTCCGCAGATTGAGGGATTTTTAATTTACACAATGCGTAAAAATTTTTCACGCGTCTTGCGCAATATTCGTGATTTTTTATTTGCGCATTGCGCAACAAAAATTTCGCATTAGGGGATTATCTAACAGATCATGTGACTAATTGCCGTTGAAAAAAAAAAAAAAAAACTCACCCCATTTATTTCATTCGAAAAAAACTTATCAATCATTTCATAATGATAGGTAATTTAAAAAGTTGCGAGTAATTTGTGTAAATGATGTAGGGACATTAAACGGTAAAGGTCCCTGGAATTGTTATCTTTTCCTTAATCGAACATTTTGTTCTACAATTTTATTTATTTGCAGATGAAATCATGTCAAACTGTTAATTTTGATTCCCAACATGCGGTGTTTGGTTAACGATATTTACAAATTAAGAAAGTTGGCTTATGAAATACGCGTTATAAAACCTTTTTGATAAACCATTTACAAAAATTCATTTTAGATCATTCCCGCCCAAAAGTGAAAATTCGAATTCTCAATGTTACACGAATTTCTTCTAAAACAGATGGTTCAATTCGTTAAATAAAATTACATGCATTAAACAATTAAAAAAAAGCTTCTATGCTTCACTTTGCATAACCGTCGTTCCAATTAAAATTCATGAATTTAAAAAAAAATTCAATGATTGGAATAAATACCATTTTTAATAATCGTGAATCTGATATAAAAAAAAAATCACACGTTAGGTCATTATTAACCAAACGTTCCAAGTTTCCATGCTTATTATTAATATTACTAAATTATTATTAGATTCGGTGTCATAACATGCTTCACATTTCATAATACGATAAAGAGCGTATCACATAAGACGCACCCTCACTCATTATATGCGGAAAATGCATCCTTAAAAATGAAAAACTTCTTAATCGAGATTGAAAAATGGGGTATAGTTTCTTGAGATTCCACGAAACTAAAGAAAAAAATTAAGAAAAAAAAAAATATTGAAAATTCATACTTGCAAGAATGTACAAATTAAATGCATAGCATTACTTTATTATTGTTATTATGATGATTATGGTAAAAATCGAATTCTTGTGCGTTAAAATGTTAAAATGTGTGTAGTATGCGATTGTTTATATCTTCATTATAACACTTGTTTTGAAAAAGATTATTCCTTTTTGTCTCTTTAATTTATGTAATGTGGTATGTATGTAGATTAGGGATTTTCATTTTGCCTTAGTATTGTCAATTTTTTTTGCCAGTTAAATTTTCAAAAAGGATTTGCAGGGCGTGAAGATTTTTATCTTTTTTGTTGTTGTTGAAGGAGATGAGCTTTACCTTTTTTTTTTGGGATTGACGAGCTCATCCATTAAAATCGTTAAATTAAAAATTATATTAAAAAAAAAAAAAATTAAGGATACGTAAAATTAAATACTATATTAAATGTAAGTTAAATTTATTCAATTTATTAAATTTTTGCCAAGAAATAAACCTATAAATTAAATTAACTGCATTCACAAAGGGCTTTTTAATTTAATGATTTAAAGTTTAATACATCACATAATCCTCAAATTAGAAATTAATAATGCAGGGACTAATCTGTGCTACACTTAATAGTGAACCTGATAGGTACAAAAAAATTCTATAACTGTTGAATCTTTATAAGGAAAGACCAAATTTTAAAAAAAGATTTTAATTATTATTATTTATTTATTTTTTTTTTTCTCTAATTAAAAAAAGAGGACAGCTAAATAAACATAACAACTACCGTATTTTTCCGGCGTTCTTAAATAGAAATATGATGTCACACCAATTAATTTAGGTTATTTTTGTTTAATGATGTCAACGAAGAAAAATCATTTTTAGGGTTTATTTTTATTTTTATTTATATTTTAAATCTTTTGTTTGGAAAGTTCTTTAGAGATTCACACTCATGATATCACATTACAGTCTTAAATGGAACATGCACATCCATTTACGTGGAATAACGGTCGTTCAAGATTGTCAATCAATCGCAATTGTTTTTAAACATGCGAAAAATTAATTCGGCATCAAGTTTAATTTAAAATAATAAAAGAGAGTGAGAGAGACGACGTCCTCATTGGCCGAGAATTAAAAATTCAAACCCGCCTCCTTTGAGTTTTCCTTATTTGTTTAACAACTATTCAAATGTGTGACCGAGTTTAAAATTTCATGGTCGTACGATACCTAATATCACCAACTTCTTTTTGTGGCAACGTGATTGGTTTTCAGATTTTTCTGAATTGTTAATAATAAAGGTCGGAGTGGTGTTTCCGAAGATCTTATGTTAAATTGAAGTAAGTTATTCATTATTGGCAATTCATTTTCAAATTCTTGTTACATTATTTTAGAAAATTGTTCATGAATTCCTTTTTAGATATATCATTTTCAAAAAACGACACAACACGCAAAATTACCTCAAAGAATGTTAGACCCGTGGCGACTTTTTTTCTTCATATGATCCTTACCATACTGTTACCTTGATTGTCTTTAGTTAGGTGCTTTCATCTCCCTGATTTAAATCAAGTTTGCATGATGATAACTTTTTTTTTTTTTTTTACACTACATCTGTAGAATAATAATCATGTAAGTTCACCTTATTTGAATAAAAAAGGTTTACTATACTTGAATGATGGTTGGTTTTAACAAAGAACTTTTTGTAAAGCAAACACATTGGTTCATCATCAACTAAACACAAGGAATAGCCAACTAACTAAATCGGAAGAAAAATATGATTTCAATGAAAGATCAAGAAAAAGAATATTCGATAATTTTTTTTTTTTTTTAAAAAAAAAAAAAAGAGATATTACGTTATACCATTAATATATTGTTGTCGTGATGTGATTGAATATGGTGGCGATCCAACAAAAGCTACAGTATATAATACAACCAATATATCTTGTAATACCTTTGCTAAGCCCATATCTACAAAAGTCGATCACTTTAATTTTTTTTCTTTTGCCAAACAAAATCTTTTTTTTTTTATAGTGATAATTACTTGGTGTTAGTATATTTATTTGTATCTCAATATCGCAATTTTTATTGATAAATCATTTTCAACAAGTTTCAAAACAAGCATTCAATAGTCATTAAAAAATTTTAAATATGCTAAGCCCCACAAACCATAACTTTCTCATTATAAAGAAACTTTATTTTTAATTCAGACCATTGATAACATTTGATAACATTTTTAATTTATGAAAGAGTAGCATCAATAGTAAATGAGGTGTCACATCAGGAAAGTAATGTTATTTGGGGTTGCACCGTATTAAATGTTACCCGCAATCTTGCCGTTCTTTATTTACGTCAAGAGCCATGATGTTTCTCGGTTGTAGGAAAAAAATAAAAATAAAAATAAAAATAAAATAAAAATAAAAAATTATTTTATTTACACAGCATGGCAAAATAAAGAAAATCGTAAAGTAAGAGAGATCTGGGAACCGAAGATGGAAATCATTTATTAAGGTTCCCGCGCCAGCAAAGTATATATGCATAACACAACATGGTGACAGATTTTTCGAGTACATGTGTAGATTTGTGTTATCCACATTGACGCATAGCATGTATGCAGTACAAATAATTTTACACAGGTTGACGGTGTCACATAATGTTTAACGCGTGAAATTGTTTTTCTCCTTCTCTCTCCTTGAACCCTTTAAATCTTGTGGAAAACAAGTTATCATCGGGCCTTTGACGGAAAAGGTTATTTTCATCAACGTAATTACGATAGCCGAAACTCCGAATTCTAAAGATTACGATTTGTTGCGTACGGGACCGGCTAAATTTGTAAGGATCACAATACCAATATAGATTCACGTGACAAACGGAAAATCTTTTCAAGCTTCAAGTGCAATCACATCGCTCAAACAGCTTCGCCACGATATACGCCATATTCTAAGCGTAAGGATTTCCTCAACTCTCCTTTTAATATCGGGATTGTATGAAGCTGGCAAATTCATTAATTGTTTTCCCTATCTAATCTTATCCTCGTTATGTAATGTACTATAAATAAAGATTTACAAAGTTCCTGATTATCATACTCTTTTTTATTATTATTATTATTATTATTATTATATTATCCATATTGTTATTTTATTAATGTTAAATGACGGATCCATTGCGGTTGCTATGAAGAAAAATAACAAATAATCGTTAATGTTTTTAGTTTATGTATACCTATTATTTGGTGGTCAATTGGTAATAGATTTTATTGCGACACGGTTGTATGCTTTTGACTCAGTTCATTAAAATAATCCTTGTTCACCTTTTAAGTCGAGCCGGCTCATTTTAACATTCTGTTTTTGTCACTTGACTCTGACTCAGGTTGACCCTTCCATAAGGAAAGATGAATGATTACTCGTAAGATATTAGATTTGAGCTCTGTGGTATCATAATCCATCGCACTCACGCGTTCTTTTATAGTGATTTTACCAAATTAATCATTAGTTTTTTCCATGAGCATAAGATCAACCTTTAATGGAAAGGTGGCTTTATTTTTCAAGTTTATTATTAATAATATGTGTCTGGAGGAAACATTGGGTAAAACGGTATAGATTTGTTCTGTATATGCAACAGACGTACGTATGCCTGCTAGATAACTAATCATCACCCGGTCGGTCTTCTGACTGAACCCATCACGTTGGTAAACCAAATTTTTTTTTGTTATGTTCTTTTTCGATTTTTAAATTGGGATCCTCTGTTCATTAATGCAGGTCTTGTTAGGTATAACGATTATATTTACATGCAGGATTATTTACATGCGATTGTTAATTCGTGTTATATGACATCGCGTGTCACTTTATTGTTTCTATTTCTGAATCTTATTTGTTTATATTTAACCTTTTTTTTCTTATCAATATTTCTAATCGACGTGAACGCTTTTTGTGATTGGTGAATTTTGAATCCAAAACTTGGTCAGACGCGAACGTTAATTTAGGGCATATCAATCAAAAAAAAAAAAAAAAAAAAAGATTGTAAAGGCTAATGACACCTTTTTGTTTTCGTCCCTTCCATTAAAGAGCGCATGCATGTTTGCAAGGTTATCACTCTAATTGAACAGCATCCAGGCTTTCCATGACGAACATGTCATAAAAACATGTCACACGCTCAACGGATAGATAAGACATCATAACAACTCTTGGATTCATTCCATGCATGGCGGTCTTCGAGCTTGGGGTTGATGCACGCTTATCCTATTCAGATATTCCAAAATCAAACATCTATTCCTTTGTTCTTTCAAAATTTTTTTTTTTTTTTTTTTTTTTTGCAATAGTCCGTAACACTCCACCGGCCTTCATACTTACATAACGAGCTACGCGGCGTTCGGGGTTGAGCGAGAATATGTTTGATTTTTCTCACACACAAATCTCCATTAGTGCATGATTCGCAGTAATAATAATAAAAAAAATAAAAAATAAAATAAAAATGTGGGGAACGAGAGGGTAAAAAAAATTGTACGTTAGTCCATCAATCTGGCGTAAAGTTATGATAATGATTTCAATAATGCATGCGTTCAATCATTCTAGTTTATTAATTTTACCAATTTTGTTAATAACCGCCAATAAATACATTTTATTTTCGTTTTAGCTTCAATTTAAACATAAAATGTTTTTAACTTTTGTGATGACCTTTATAACATCAAGGTTGAAAGATTCAGTAAAGGAAGCTTTTGTTAATTTACGCCATCTTTCACAACACCTACTTACATTGTGCATAACAAATTGAAAATGAAGGAAACGAAATCAATTCCTCTTTTTCCTTGATTCGTCAATTTCTTGTAAGAAAAAAAAAAAAACGCCTTAATAAACTTTATCATAAATCAAGGGGTTGCGGACTATCTACCTTCTCTGTTCCATTGCGAGACCTCATAATCAAGAAAAAATTTTCTTTGGTTACATGGATTTACACCACTGGAAAATAATGCGCAAGTGCATTATTATTGCAAAGATGTATAGTGATGCATTATTTTTTTTTTTTTTTTTGCGCTCTTAAACTTTTAATCATGATATTCCCTGGTGTAGCGTAGTTGCGCGTTGATGTTTTGAATAGTTGAAGCGCCTTACATTTTTGTTTACCTTCTCCAATTTTATTAGCTTAATTACATTGATGCACTATGAAAAAGGTAAAAAAAAAAATTTTTTTTTTCCCATTATTAAGTTCGGAATCAACGAGAAGATAGAAAAAATTTACGTAAATATTTTGCGGATCAGCCCTTTGATGATTTAAATTGGTTTGGTGGGTTTTTTTTTTATCTTATCTATTATTTCCTTGTTTACATGTTGATTCTTGTCAAAAAAAAAAATTTTTTTCCATCCGGTTTTTTTTTTTTTTTTTTCCCAATTTCAATTTCCTTGATATGTGATTTGTTGCAATTTAAATATTTACCAAATATTTTGATACCTTTTTTGATTATTTTTTTTTGTTAAAATTCTATTTGAAACAAATACTGATTTGGTAAATCATGATGATGATTATGGGAGATGGATTTAGTATCAATGTTGAGTACCACATTTATCACCTCAATTACAGATAACCTTTTCGTTGGTGGTGTGTCACTTTTAATTCATCCTTTCGAACTTTCGTGAACACCACACTTGTAACTTGTAAAGATGACAATCTTTCCGTTTCTTTTTCGAGAAATTTGACGTGTTGTGAAGCTTAATTCTCTTTCCCCCCTCCATTTTTTTTTTTTTTTTTTTCATGATTTACACAAGTTACTATAAAAGTAAATTAAATTATTATTATTTTTTTTTTTTTCACCAAAAGGTTTTCAGAAATTTCAAATAATGGTTTATGCCAAAACAAGCATGGCATGAATCATTGACAGAGAAACATAATTTAAAGGTGACACATAGTAATGGTAATTATTTGAACTTCAAACATTCAAAAAAGAAAACAATGATGCACAAAAAAAAAAAAAAGGGTCCCACACAAACAAGCCGCAAGTCAAGAAGAGAAACAAAAACGCCCAACAACATTTTACTTGATGGTTGGGCTTAATAATTTTTTTTTTTTGCCTTTACCAAAGGGAAACTAAACTCTGCGGGAAAAAAAATTTAAATTTTTTAAGATTTGCCAGGGCTTTTTTGTCGTTGTACCACATTTAATGATCTCTGAATGCAAGCAAGGTTGGTTATTTATGGTGAGACGAATGATCAGCTGATTGAAAATGAGATACAAAAAGAAAAAAAAAAAAAAAAAAATATTACGATTCGCTTTCTTAACCCTCTAAAGTTCACATTGCCTTTCACGTTTAATTGTTTTTGTTTCACCCAAAGGAAAAAAAAAAAATTCTTTTCATTTAAGAAAAGAAGAGAAAGAAAGAAAAAAAAAAAAAAAAAAAAAAAAAAAAAAAAAAAAAAGAGGAAAGAAAAAGTACGCCAAGGAAATTATGGAAATGCATGCAACGAAAACCTGCATCTCATGCACTACGCACAAAATGATTGAGCACATATACGGCCAGGTTTGGTCCCGATTCGTTGATTGTGTCACGCATATCATTGTTCCATTTGTGTGCTACGCCACATACTCACGCTTGCCTGCGCGACTGCGGCCACGAGGACACGCAAACCTGCCCATGGCATTCCATGAATATTCCATGAGCGAAACACGAGATGCTTTGATAATTATGCACAAGGACAGATTGGTGCCGATTTAAGGTTTTTCTTGGGGTCATCTGCCCAACATTACCGTTAAAGTAGCCATTTATAATAAACCTTATTGTCGAATTAAAAATTCCATTATAATTCTAAAATAATCAATATTTATATTTAGTGCTAGGACCAAATAATTTGACATGTTATCAATCTTTTTTTATACCCATTCATTAAACAAGCGACATTAACAATTGGAATACGATGTAATTCATTTCATAAGTGGCAACAATCCATTTTCCTATATTCGTACTCTAGTTTAGATAAAGACAAATTAACCGATTGTAAACCTTAACGCTCGAATAGGGTTAAACGGCGTATTCTATCACAAATACAAATTAATAAAGTCTATTGATTTTTTTTTTCGTTTTATCGTGGTTTAGGAAATTTACGCCTTCTTCTTCTTTATTATTATTATTATTATTATTATTATTATTACTATTAATATTACTATTATCATTTTTATTATAAGAGACATAATGAGAAGAATAATGATCCCCCAAAAAAAGTTTGAAGGTAATCCCCAACCTAAGGGGACATCTAGGTTGAATCGTCTTGTATTAATTTGGCATTGAATCGTCGTTCGTCATGCTTGTCGTACATCCTTGAATAATCAGATTGAACATCTAAGGGACTAAAAGTTTGACATCTGCGGGTAATTTTCAAAACACCAAAAGATGCTAGCAAAAAAGAATCCTCAATGAATTAAACGGATCCCCGAAATGGACCCCGAATATTCTCATTATTGATTTTCAATCGTTATCTAAACGTGTGACGAGATGGTAGATTAAAGATATAGATATCGGGTTATTTTTTTTTTCTTTTTTTTCTAAAAGCTGTTTTCCGAATTTGGGAATATTTATTAATCCTTGAGGTTCTACATGATTACGTCCCTTTGAGTACGTGTGTGATGACTTGTCACGGGATTACTGGAAGGTTATAAGGTTTTTTGGGATGAAATTATTAAAAATTATTAATTACGGATCAGCTTATATCAAAACATATGAATTAATAATTCTTTTTCTCTTCCCCCTAATTTATTCTTTAGCAAGAGCATTTGTAATGAATGATACAAAGATCATATTCAACTTTATGATAATTATGTTTATTCCCAACTAGTTTATTGATTGACTCAGTGCCGACTCTGGATTTTATCAATCCTGCTGCGCCACTGTACCATTTCTTTCTCTGGTCTCCGACGAAAAAAAAATAATTTAACAAAAAGGAAAAAAAAAAGATTTTCTTCTCATATTCTATCATGATCTTCACGGATTATACCCCTTTCAATCCTTAAAGTAACGATATAACGAAATGATGCACACCATTTTATTAAACCATCACTTATCTTGTTCACGAGATTTATTATGTTAGTATTGTTATGATATAATGACCATTTATCAATTGACGAGATATGAAAGAACAAAACAAAAAATGGATATCATGTCTGGTGATACTTTTTTTTTAAAAGACCTTTAACTGTATTTATTAGATATCAAGTAAGGAAACCTGATCTTACATCCCTTCCCGCGCTTTCCCCCTTCAAAAAAAATAAAGAGAAAGACCAATAGAATCTCATCGGATACGAAAAATGATACTTCCATACTTCCATTGTACAATAAATAAAAATCTTAATCTTAGACTTTCATTATCTTTTCTTGTTTGAACATTAGATAACGTTCATTTTAATTTACTTGAAAAAGAATTTTTTGGCGCCAAATCTACATTAATTTTTCGCATGAACGAAATTGTCGATTTTGTTAATGATTTTCCTAAAAAAAAAAACTTCTTTCCTTCTTCATAAGGAATCATTAGTATATGTGTTGATAATCATAAAAAATAAAATATACACACGCATAATTTAAGATTTATATTTTATCCTTCAACTCTATTATACATTTATTCCTATTTAATTAACTTAATTTGTACACAGTTGATGAAATAAAAATTAAGAATCAAAAAATAAAAAATAAAGTGGAAAAAAGAGAAAGGATTCTCATAATATTTTTCCACTTTATTTTTAATAAATAAACAATAATAAAAAAAAACATTAAACAAATAAGAATTAATTTATATTTCACCCTATTATTAATGATGACAAGTTCCGGTTCTTGATTAATACCTTGTTTTTCCTTTCTTTCTTATCCTTCCCTTTTTTTCACTCTACAACTCAGTGATTCTTCTATTCTAAATGTTAACAGATAAAATGAATCGGAGTATGTACAGCGATTCTTACGAATGATGATTTATTCAGGGGTCACTTTTCCCATTTATGGAAATGCAATACAGACGTACGAAGTTAATGGTGATTATAATGTGGTCGTATTTAAGTTGCAGTGGTTGAGAAACAGTGTCAGACGTTTTAGAAGGAGACGGGAAAATCATTTTTTTTTTAAAAAAAAAAAGATTCTTCCCGTGTGATAATAAATTCTAAAATTCAAACATTCATACAGGTTTCAAAGTATTTGAAATCAAGGCAAAAGACAAAAAAGTAAATAAAATATTAATGTTTTCCGCGTAAAGTTTTATTTATATAAATTAATACTTGTTGCACTTGGTTAATTTGTACAAATATGAGTTTACGACGGTTTTTTGTGCGTACGTCCTATAAGTGAGATGACAAAGCGTTTTTTATTATTATTATTATT